AAAAAAATCAAATCGGCAAGTTTAAATTTACGCAAATCAGCCTCAACAGTGTCAGTAGATGGGGGGATTTGGGGAGTTTACTCTAGTATAGGTTAGCAACATTCAGCTGAACTAGCTCTGGTATAGGCTGAGGGTTCCAGGGTGGGTCACAGTGGCACATCCCCACCCAGAAATTCCCAAAGTACCCCCCCCCCGACCCGATCCTAACCATTTTTCAAAGCCGTTTTCTTCCTGTCGTAGATATAAACAAAGTTACTGCCTTGCTGATCACTGAACGTGAAATTGTTGTTTACGCGTCACGGATTTATTAATGGTCAGACATACATGTACATCTGGCCGAGCTTTGTCTGAAAGGAAAATAATGCTGCTTCCTATGCATGTTGATGGGGACGATGTCTTCCGCTACCATCTGGTCCCTGACAAAGTTAGTCTGTCTTCCCGCATGATCACTCTTGAAGATTTTCTGTAGTTGTATGGCTTACGTTTCTGAAATAACCTGCTTTCACATAAAATATTCTTTTTTCTTTTGTTCCCACTCTCTTTCCCTTCCCCCGTTTTGTTTGACATCAGACGTGAGTATTGGCCTAGCCGTCTCCCAATCAGAATTGCACGCTTGAAGTTTGATCGTGATCGTGACATTTTTAGTCGTGTATTAAATCTCTTGTTAATCAAGCTTGCTCGGTTCCTTACTGGGAGAATATCGGCCCGAGGTCTTGACAGAGCGGACCGAGGGCCGATATTCTCCCAGTAAAGAACCGAGCAAGCTTGATTAATAAGATCTATGTCAACACGCAGTCATGATCCGTCCAGCCAAGTGATTATTACACGCTTCCACACAAACTGACCGTACCATGAGCTGTACGTGGAACGAAGTTTCAGATCGTGTTGTTCACTACAAGAAAGTTCATTTAACAGCGATGAAATGATTCCATTAGGACAAGCTTATCAGTGTATGGCGAGCAGATATCCTCCACTTGAAGTATCGTTAGCTGCTGCTTATAAGCCCCCCGCCCCGGTTAAGGGCCCATCTACCTGTAAACCAAAAATACATTCAGTTATGAGCCACCCCTCCCCCCGGCTATAAAAAGGCCCCGTTCTAGCTTTCTTTGTGGTGAATTCGTTTATTATGTTCTAAAGCTTAATTAAAAACCCGGATTAAAAAACAGTAAATGAAAAACCTACTTCGATCAACACAGCTACAGCTCGTTTCGAAACGATTGTTTTATTCCAGTTATGAGCCCCCACGGATATAAGGCCCCTCGGCTATAAGCCCCCTCGGATACAAACCCCACCGTTTAAAAGCCCATCTAAAAGCGCTTATGAAGTTGTACAAGCCCAGGGCTTATAAGCGGCATTTTACGGTATTCAGGTACCAGATTTATCGGGGTCAAGTTTTAAAACCGTAGCATCACAAGTAGAATTGATGATGCCATGGGAAAGCGAGGAACGATTTGCTCTTTTTCCATTCCCTGGCTATGGTTGCCACCGGTCAGGATGGCAGAAGCATGATCTTAAGACAAGCGAATGGGTTCAATTCGATTTGACTACTTCCTCATCCTCACCCCTCGACCTCCAATGTTGTTTTATCTTGTTTTAGTATTTGGAGTCCAACACTTAATAAACTGGAATCGCTATTTTGTTTTTCAGTGTTTAGCACAAGGGATGTTGGCTGCGGCATTTCGTTTCATGTTAGACTTAATATTGTTTTTCCCCAAATTGTAAGAAGTCTTAAGAAAAGCGATCTCACAAGATTGGTTGGTTATAATTCTCTTTTGCCTAATGACGTATTGGCATATTGCATAACAAACACAGAATAAGCGAGTTGTGATTGGAAACTGACAATAAATGAGAAATCTGTGTGATTCTACTTGTGATTTTACTGTCCGTAGGTATTTCTCAATGACTGGTTTTTTTTTTACTATTAGTTTCAATGATCTTATCGACATTTTAAACTCCGTGAATTATGTAGCATATTTCATCTGACGTCACAAAGTAAACATTCCCTTCTCTCTTACGTCAGCGATCGACTAACCAATGGATGTTAAGCACTGAACATGTCCAGTTTAAAGTAGATTCAACTTTGCTGGACGATCGTCAATCTGCCGGAGGACGCAAGTATGATGAACAAAACTGCTGCCGAGAAATTAGGTCTGTCTCCTGATGAAGAATGTGTTTTCTTGAATGTTGAAAAACCGACACCTGCGCCAAGTCAGAATTTGCTGGAGGAGGGTAAGTTAGAGTCCAGGTTTGATTTGTTCAATGAAACAAACAGCGGAATGCATGCTAAAACATCGACGTTCTTTGCGATTCAGTCGCGCTCCAACTTATTTTTCTATAGCAGAAAACGAAAATCAGTCTCTTAACATCAAGGTATGTTCATCGTTTGTTTCCGAGCTTTTGCTGACCGCGAGACAAATGTTATCAACGTCGTTCACTCCATAAAAACGGAGTATCGAAAGGTTTTTTCTTAACTTAAGCGGAAAACAAATACATAGAGCAATCGTAGGGGAGAGTTCAGTATCTCAGTCGCTGGTCATGGATCTGGTAATTTATATCGATATTAATTGTTAACGAGGATGCTATACCTAAGTTGAAATAAAATGGTTTAGTGCTATGCAGCTATAACTACATAATTTCTCCAAAAACGGATTACAGAACGCCTTCGAAGAAATTGAGAACATTCAGAATTGAAAAAATGAAATTCAATGCTTTCGTTGTACTCTGCTTGAGAGAAAAAGTATAGCCAGCAATATCGAGTCAATTTCCTGCTTCGATATTTACATACCAAATCGTTGATGTTAACATTATTTCAACTGACTCGAAAAAATCAAATTGTCTCATAATTAAAATATTATCTTAATACCACCTTCTCTATTATTCAAATGGCAGAAGAGGCCGTGAGGAAAACAAAATAACATCGTTCTCGATTTCCTGGGGGGAAATCAGCTGCAGCTTGGTCAGACACAATCATTGCTCCTGTTCGCAAATTCCTTTACATGGATGTTACAGCAAATAAACATCACTCTCAACAACACACTTACCCAACTGATCTTTTCCAAACTCGCTCAAAAGACTATTTTTTCGAATACGAAACTTAACTTTTCTTTTCTTGGGTTTTCTTGACCACATCCAAAAACAACAAATTACATTAACTAGAACCTAGCCTAATTATTTATCTAGCAATTTTTAAGCACATCAAACGTATATTGTATTTACCTGGCCAATGGAAGAGAAATAGCCGCATAGCAAACAGGCTCCCGGCGAGGGCGGAAAAAAATCCGGCCAGCGAAGCGAGCGGACAAGCACGAAACTGAAGAATTTGGAGAGCAAAGCAGGCTGGGAGGGAAGGACAAATTTCGCTTCCTCGGCAAACAGGTGTTTACATGTAAAATGGCGGATTAGTTTTTGTATATACCGTTGCACTTCGCCGGCGGACAAGTGGCTTCAGAAGGTACAAACTTCATTAAAATTCTTCTTGTTGGCCAAACCAACCAGCTTACGGAGCTAAAAGCTGTGTTAAGCGGGCACCCTCAGGAAATAGTCTTATGCCCATTTAAAAAGGGCTTTCATGGAATACGTCCTATAAGCTTCGAAATTCTATTCTGATCAGCGATGGATGATTTTGAGATACTTGCCTAAACTGTAACGATGTCCTTGTCTTTAATTATTTTGTTTAAAGCGCTGAATTGATCAAAGTGTTATTTAACAATTAGACCCGTAGCCCGCAAGGGCTACGGGTCAATAGCCCATGAGGCGAAGCCGAATGGGCTATTGACCCGTGGCCCTTGAGGGCNTTGGGAATAAAACGAAAGAAAGCGCCACGCTCGATGGCGCCAATTTCGCTACTCGATGACTATTACTAATAGTCCCCTAGTAGCGTAGCCAATAAAAATGCAGGATTTGCATTAGTCCACTAGTTGGGTGATACTAATTAAACATATATCATAAAGCGAGTTTCACGCGGCCAAACAAGTCGGCTAATAACAGAAGTGATTGAGATACGAGCTGGTGTCCAAGACGGTGACAGAAGAACATCCTGATACCGCAATGAAAATGCTGAGAACCAAAATGCATATGCCATCCGGTGAAGAAATAGTTGATTTTTTAATTCCTTCAGTTTCTCAAGCCTCATTTTCCAAAGTTGACTTAACTTCTGACCGGAGTGTTCCCCCTTTCCATGACGTCGATAACGTAGAAAAAGCAAAATCCCAGTCAATCTCAGGACACAAAGACTCATTTTCACTGATTATTTCATTAGCCTCCCCTACTCCTTCCCCGTTTAAAGCACTTAAGCCTCACTTTTAAGGTGCCCGTGTCCGCTTTATAAAGGCGTCCGCTCAGTTCAGATATTTACACTAAATGAGGGAAATACATGTCGTTAGAATGCTCGCTTGTTCTCACGATGAATAGTTCCTTAACAGAAACACTATATTTAAACAGTCAATGATGGCAGCTGATCAGATGAAATTCATAAGTTTTAATAGCCCATGACAAGTTTGTATTATTTGTTGTTATTTTACCCCAGGACAGTTGTTATCTCTCCCGAGTGAAGACACAGCTTCTGGTGCTCACAAGCCAAAGATTGCCCGCACCCGATTTTCAATTTACCAGAAAATTGCCCTTGAGAACTCGTTTCTTTCATCTTTGTATCTAACGGGCGAAGAACGAGACGCCTTGGCCTTCAAAATTGGACTCTCTCCTGGCATTGTGCAGGTACATATTATGCTTTCGTGTTTTAGAAATTGAGAAAAATATCTTTATCCTTATGTGATCGCTGAATACGAGAGCAAGTAATATGTCCAGAACAGTAGTTTATATCACACTTGTTTAAGGACTCAGCAGACGGAGATAGGGTTTGTAAACCGGTGATGTATGAGTCAGTTCCTTATTGATCTATCGCGCGGTTTGACCTGACGTTCTTGTGTAATTACTCATATTCCACGCAGAAACTGAACTTACTCGTGAGTTTTTTTTCTTTTAAGAACCTCATTTGAATTGTAAAATAAAATTTAAAAAAACGTCAATGTTTTCTTTTACCACATTTGGCTAAGTTTTTCTTGGTTTATTTTTCTTTGTTTGTCCCGCAGACTTGGTTCAAAAACAGGCGATTTAAATGGCGTAAAGAACTCAAGATGGCTAATGGAACTAACTCGCCACCATCACCAGTTCTTCTCTTCCCCAATCCCCCTGCCTTGACATACCGAGGATCTACCATGGGGCCTGAGCACCAGCGGGCTGGTTGGGAGGGAAACTCATGTCAGTTTTGTGTAAACAGTCCACCACGCTTCCTCTATAACAACACTACACACTAGCAAATGGAAATGGTGTCAAATCAGTTATTACCATAAAAGCTCTATTAAGTCTCCTTCTTGCTCTCTTTCGTTTTTGTAAGTTCTGTTCTCTATTCAGCCCTGCACTGGAAATTTCAATCATAATACCCCCTTGTGCCCACCCATTTCTCAGCAAACCAACACAATAAATGAACAGAGAAGTAATGACATGTCAAACTATCCTCTGTTTACCAGTCATTTATTGCAATCTTTCCCTATATGCAGCAGTCACTTTTTCTAGTGTCCTATGTCCATAAAAGTTTATTGTTAGCAGCTGCTCTGACTGATAAATGTATGCTTATGTTTCAAGAAACCGTAATTCATGGTACAAACTGATTTGAATTTGATTTTACTGAAAAACTTGACATGAGCCTAGAAGACCGACGATTAAGATCTACTTGATCAAACAGCTATGTAAGTCAATACTACCCATCACCCAGAGCGCTTGGTACAGGTTTTACCGTTGTCAAATATTACATGAGCTATCTGTCCCGGGCATTGATTTTTTCAGAAAAAAAACCTTTAAACATGACGTAGGTGCTATCATAGCACTCGTCTGATTGTTAAAAGCTCCCTCTACCCTCCCGCACACCTCCTGCTCAAAAGGTATTGAAAATTAATACACCAACCCCCACCCTCCCCCCGAAAGGACTTCATAGAGCTTTAACGGTTTTACTATAATGTCTTTTTAATAAAAATCTTTTAATTTTGCTTCCAACCATGAAGCAAGATAAACCGTAAGACAGTAAGATATTTCATAATGTGTAGAAATATATTTGCAATTACTTTCGTTAAAATTGGCAGGTTTTCCATTAATTTAACACAGAAGTTCCGCTTGCTTTACTGATCAACTGTGGTCTTGTTGTTACTCAGACAAGTTATTTTTTTCTCTGTTTGATTCTTATAGCATTTTGTACTGTTTCTCTTAAATTTCTGTTCCGTAATGTCATCTAAGACGGTTGGGGAAAGTCGTCAAAATTTCAGTTACGTTATTCACTGAGTTCGTTGTGTTTATAAATCTCCTTTGAAAGAGTTTGATTTGGAATAAGCTGCTTGATATTTTTTCTTTTCTCGTTTCTATGAAGTGGTAGAAGCGTGTAACGATTGCTATCACTAAGAGTCAAACAAAGATAACATTCAGCACTTTTGTTTTTTTATATATATATATATATTTGTTGTTGTATTTATAGACTCAGGTTTGCTGTTATGTAAATAGGTTAATGACCAAGTGTTGGTCACGGTAAAATGGCTGGATTTGGACCAGTTGAGGTCCACGCAAAACAAGATCTTGGCCGGCAACTGATATCCAGCCATCTTCACCGAATAAGTTTGGTGAAGAAAGGATTTATTATATAGCGTACAGGCCACCGTGTCCTTGTGGAATGAGGCGGGCATTGCCGAGCGAGCAAAATAGCCCCCTTTTGCTCACTCGAGTAGCCAATCACAGAGCAGGATTTGGTTCATCCTGCCCGCTCACGGAGCTAGCCATATGATAATGTTGTTTATCGATATACAGTCAAACAGAATAATTGCGCCAGTCACCAGGCATTGCATTAATATTGTAAATCAGAGAAGCTAAGCAAAATAAAAATATTTACTGGGTGTTGTATTTGCTAAGTCTTGTACCTCTTGGTATTAATGTTAGTTCGCCCGAGAATATGTGACGTCAGGTCACATGCATTTTAGCGTTAACACATTTTTCCTAAACAAATGAACTGACTATTGATAGCGAGATTCTCCTCATTCTCCCTCCCCTGGACTTTGTTATCTCCATATGAAGTTCACTTTCAATTAGCCCTTTGCTAAGTTTTACTGTGGTCTTGTTGTTACTCAGACAAGTTATTTTTTTCCGTGTTATTATGATTTTAAAACGTGTATTGTTCTTCTTTTTTGGTTTGTAAGAAACATTCCAGAAGTAATTTTGTACAAAACCATTACGGTAAATTATCTCTCTCGTTTCTTGGCTTCTGAATTAACATATGCAAAAGCCAGGTGATATCTTTTTATTGCTTCGTTTAGACACAATCTGGAGACGTAACAGAGTGTAATGTGATAATCCTTGGGTAAACATTGCTTGCCAAGTCCGCTCAAAAAGAGTTATACGTCTTTTAAGACGTATAACTGTTGTTATGCTTAAAAGCATAACAACAGTCATTTTTAAAAAGATCCCATTGGTTAACAGTTCCCGTTATGAAATCTGTGAAACACCTGCTATCCATTTTTTCTTCATTTGGTGGGAAATTTGGTTCCTGTTTAAGGACCTATTCATCAAATGGTTCCCAAATTGCTCACTGAAAACTTCCTAAAGTTCTAACAAGAAGAAATCAGATTTTGGCGCAAAATGCTTTCCGAAGTGTGTTTTTTCAACAAGAAACCACAAAGAATGGTATTTCTCGAATAACATTCATTAAACAAAACTCCCGACTGGTAGCAGCAAATTAATTATTGATTTTCTTTGAAAACAAAATAAATGATTTACATTTTGTGAAAGTTCTAGTTATATTTTCGAAGATCGTTTATGTGTTAGTACTAATGAGATAAACCAGCTCACGATACATTTGTTGTACAGTAACACAGAACGGTGGACCTGAATCATGATAGTCGCTGAAGATGACGAAAATGACGAGAAAGCGCAGGCTCTTCGTCGTAAACTTATAAAAAATGTTGTCGAGGCGAAACTAAAGAATGAACGAGAAAAAGAAAAGCTTGGACGCACGCTGGGAAATCTAGCGAAGGAAGAGCAACGAGAAATGCGAAACATTCATCGAAATCTTGATTCATTGAAACGAGAACTTCAGGCTCTAGAGCTTGGAAAAACCAGCGAAAACAGACTGAGTGTGAGAAGTGCAGTAGCCACACATGTTGCCGATAAAGGAGACGTACTCACAGACACGAGCAAACGAGACGAAAAGCTGAATCAACGGAGACACTCTGAGTGCACTTCAAAGTCACCCATGAGTTTCCTTGAATTGAAACGTTTACCGCCTTTACAAACCACTAATCAAGGCCTAGTGGTGTGGCCTTTGCCATACAGACAGGATAAGAGCCCGGAATTCCCTGCTCCGCTGAAGCATCGAAAGAGTTTAGCTCTACCTAAAATTGAACTTAATGAGAATCAGGAAAGGAGCCGGCACCGGTCAAGACTTCAATCATCCCCCGCGGTACTCAGCCATGTTCTGCAAAGCCAACTTGCCAAGATTAACAGAAATGATCCTCTAAAACCAGATACTACATCTGCTCATGAGGCAAATGACGATCAGTAAAGTAATACAATTTGACTGATGAGAGATTTATTTTCGCCGACACTGTGAAATTATGATACTGACCAGTTATCGATCGTTTTGACATTTCAATTTTAAAACGTTTGTTATGCCGAGAGCAAGCCGTTTGTTTCGTGTTCATCATTGCCTTTGTAAGTGGTAAAATGTGACTAATCCCAAAACAAGATATTGGAAGAGTACCATGTGCAGGCAACGAACATATTGACATTCCAAATATTTACAAGTCACTCACGTGATTTGTTATGACACGCAGCGTTCGCTCGTTAAATTCCGCTGGCGTAGCACGCGCAGAACTTTGAACCGTTAGATAGTCAGTAATTTCAGTTGGCTTTTTAAACCGACGAAAACTGAAGTTGTTCGGTCGAAACGTCTTTGTATAAGTAACTATAAACGTTGCTTTAACGTTTTAATAGAGTCAGTGTGAAAAAAACTTCGAATGTATACTGCGAAGCAGTGGCGGATCCACGGNCCCCCCTCTTATTTTGGGTACAAAAACAAAAAAAATCGCCGAAGGAAGAAAAGACGGCAGAGAAAGCAAACTTCCCCCCGCCTCCCCTAGCTAAGGGTCTGGATCCGCCACTGCAAAGAGTGTCATTGTTGATCAGCTCTTTCGTCTCTGTTGAATCAAGGGAGAGCCCTCAAAATTTTTCAGATGTGTCGCTTATATGTTAAAAATATCTAAAATTGGGTTACATCTAAACTCTTTTAGTGCTTTTTTTAAACATTCGCCACTACATCAGCTACTATCTGTCCAACCAGACAGCTTTGCTAAAAATGCAAAAATATTCACTCATACAATCTAGTGAGGACAGCAGATGCTTGGAAAATAATCGAAGAAGTCCTTTACATGAAAGCTGACTGGTGTAACTTTTATTTTCTTCCTTATTACAAACACTTCTGAAAATAATGTTTATTCCCGATTCACAAGGCCAAAAACATGATACATTGAATTGCATTTTAAACGACAAAGGAGATCATCAAAATTATCAGTGTACGTAACTCGGGCAGTTTTATGAAGAACTGGGAAACCAGTTACTCACGCAGACAAGTCGTAATAGTAAAGCAGAGATTGAAGCCACTTAATTAAGCCCAACTAGCTTATAGCTTTTGACACTTAAATCGGGGTTTCTGAAGGGTGAAGCAGCTATCGATAGGAGTGGGTGAGAGAGGCACTGTGAAAGTCAAGTGTTTTGCCCAATAACAACACACAACGACCCTTGCCAGGGCTCGAACCCTGGACCGCTCGATCAAGAGTCGATCTCGCAGGCTAACCATCAGTGTAAATAACATGAGAGACGAAACGCTTCTAGTCTGCTTCTTGTTCTGCAGGAATGTCGCATGGAACAGAAAATTTCAGGTATCCTTGAATTACCTGGCAAAGGGACAATGTCGACAGGTTAACCAAATTTTGATTCTCTAAGGGAATGTCTACAATCCCAGACAAAAATGTTGGGACACAAAGCAAGCTCTTCCCTCCTTCCACTTACAATGTCGATAATCAAGAGATTTTTTCCCTTTTTTGTTGAAAAAAAAACGCGACTTTTTCCAACTCTGACTAGGGGGGATGGGGGATAGGTGATGCACTTCACCTGTCCCAACTACTTTTGTTCCGGATTGTAGAAAAGTTTGGCTAAGTGGACAGCCATCTCCAACTAATTTATCATCATAATGCGAAAACTACCGCAGTTTGTTTGTTTCCTTGGGTCTTTATTTCCTTGGATTTTAAGATACTTTGATTCTTTGCTTCTTTGCTTACATGATTTTTCCTTAGAAAGAGGCTACACCACAAAGTACCAGTCAATGTTATAATTAAGCACTGACGGACGGATAATAAAAAGTCTAAAATAACTCAGTCGTATAACATAAATTTGATAATCATTTTATTTTTCGCCCTGCGGTCACATTTTATGAACCTGTAAAACTAAATCTACCGTCTTATAAAAGCTAAAAAATTTTCACAGCCTGCTTTGTAAGTCATTTTTTCCAAGTGCAACTCTAAATCTCAACATGTGAAACACAAACAAGTATGAGTACAAAAGTTCTAGCTGAGCTGGATTTATGGTGTATTATGAACACAATGCCAGTTATCAAACAAGTCTTGAGGGTTTTGGTTCTGGTTTAAAATAAAAAAATCTGAAATCTGAAATTTTTTCTTTAATTTTTTCTTGTTTGAAAACGTTAGAATTATTTTAAACTTCGTATTCCGCGACCTTCAGTTACTAAAGGCTAAACAGTTAACAGTAATTTTTTTATGTTCTTTAGTTGCGCTGAAGAACTGTCCAGATCTCCTTAAGTGAGCAGTCAGTTGCACAAATCAGTGTTTTCATGGCTTAGCTGGTTCCGAGAGTACCGAGCTATATCATGCCTCTATCACCTAGTTCACTATACTCTTGGTTTCTCCTCACTTGCCGGTCTGGTTTAAATGAAATCTCAGCCCCAACTATCTTTCGCATGTTCATAATATAATTCTAATGACCTTGCAAGAAGAAAAACTCCCTCGAAATATGTTCTCACCGGTTAAAAATTTAAGAAAGATAAACTCTATATAATTTTAATGACGGTTTTCCTGATACTTATTTAATTTGTTTTATGTCACTGTTATTGCATGATTAAACGGTGACCTCTTTAAGCTATCTTTACCTACGCTAAATCAGTAATATCACTAAAACAAGTTATGAAAACATCGTTTACTCTAAGCTAATATATATATTTTATGTTGAGACAAGCACTGACTTCACGCGTTTTCCATCTCCACAACAAAACACACAGACATATTCTAGGTAGCATAAACTTTTGTTAGGATATCTTGGCTTACACAACGTTAAATAATGTTTGTGAGGACCAAAGGATGTCTTACCTCCGGGCTGGAGTGATTTTTTTTTTTCACGCACACCTCAAGAAGGTGGCCACTTACATTTACTTCTCAAGCCTTTTTCACTGTTGTGAGTTAGGCAACACTGTATTGATACTGCATTGCCAGAGTGAGATATTATTTTCTAGAAAATTTAAACTAGTTCGACTGACTCGGAAGTGTCGTGTTAGCAATAGTATGTATTTTGCTCTTTTACGAGATGCCTTGTTTATACTACTTTTGGTACTAAACATCTTGACACCACCATCTTGAAATAGCCATATATAAAGTATTAATTAAGGCAAAATTTGTCGCTCTTAATTTAACGCTAAGCCTAGATCTACCATAAGGTATTTTAACTTATTTTCGCAAAATTTTCCAGGTCAATATCTCGCGGGAAAAATTTTTCGCGACACCGTTGCAATATTGACCTTGTATTTTTAAGAATACATTTTCACGTGTTTCTGCAAATCTTTAACGAATCTTAACAACAAAAATAAAATCCTCGCGAAGATAATGATTAACCAGGTAGAATCCTTTGCGACCAAAATACTAGATTATATTATGAAAGAAGGGGCTGTAATAAAAAGAATTTAAAGGTTTGAAGTCATGGTATTCCTTATACCCCGTGACAACGAAGTGTCGTGCTTCACGGCTTAAGACTTTTGTAGTACACTAAGTAAGAGTACATGATGATTTGTCCAGGGTCACGGGTGGGGTGGGGGTCTGTGTTGTTGAACCAACCAAAATAGTCTATTGTATTGTTAGGAGCCTTGCTAAGTGCGCCAGTTATGTCCACCACCCACGGGATCACTTCCTGTCCATCACACCACCCGTCCCGCCCATACAGCCACGTGCCATGCTCATTAGGTACCACTCCCTCAGGAACGCGATCGGCGCAGCCCATGGCCGTGCCTGCGTTTTTAAACACCCGACTGAAATTCTGCTTGTTGTTGACTACGAAGTGGTGCGACGTGACACAGAACTCTGCACAGTTGTTGTTGTCACTGCCGTGGCCTGTTATTGTGGCAACAAGTTTGACTTTCTCAGTATCTCTTGGAGGAATGAAATGAACGGGTGAGTATTTGCTGTTGTAGTTTTTGTCAAACGTTCCTCCTCTGAAGAGTGGCAGAAGTTTAAATGGCACCAGAGCCTTGTCCATTGCATGAAATGTCTTGTATTTGTTTGACACTGTTAAGAAAGACGAATACTCTTGTGAGCGGGGATTTGGATGGAGTCACTGGAAACTCGACTAAGACGGTTTGATTAGCAAACAAACATTCAACCAGTAACGGGAATCCCCAAGGAATTCATGATAGCAATAATAATAATGATGATGATGATGATGATGATGATGATAATAATAATAACAATATTTACAGTGAATATCACCAAGCTAACACTAAGTTAATTAGGGTGGTCCTCTAATTATGTAATAATTAGTCCTCAGATTATATTATAATGTGTGGAATAAGCCAAACATAAATTACTTTATTTCGAAATGGATATGTACAGCCAGTTGTCTATTATTATGGACTGGTAATGAGTGGCTTCTCTGTACGTGAGATGTGTTTTACAGCGTGCAGATGAAAAAACAACATTAACTTATAACAAGACAAGATCAAGGTACTCACCTCATACCTCTTACTAAATGTTAAGGTGGCCGAACACAGTTTTCAAGAGCCTATGCCTAATTCACCATTACTTTTAAGCTATTTATGCTTTGGCGCTCGTTTTTTGCAAGATTCAAGGTTAACCACAGAAAAGTTTATTCTCGCATTTTGGCTAAGGTGTGTGCTGTTGCCATGGCAACGGGGCTGGTTAAAAACAAGGCTTAAAAAATGGTTTTTGTTTATTTAAAAAAAATCCAGTCATTAGACTTTTTTCATTTTTTGCCCACTACGAATTGACATTAAATCCCTTCTGTCAACACTGTTCTAATAAAATTTTGACATAGGCGATTTTCGTAATTCG